ATTAATCTTCTTCTCATTGATAATTAAGACAATTAATATAATGTCTTCAGATCAATTTAAAAAAAAACATTTGGGGACTTTTCGATAAGTTTCGCAATATTGGCAATATTAGCCAAAGCCAAAAATTCGAATAAAAAATCGACGAAAGCACTTATCAACTACAGGAAAAATTCGCAAACATTGTCGAATTTTTCCCGTAGATATCCGCAAAGTGACTAATAACGTAGCGGGAAATTTGGAAAAACCATGTTATAAATGTAAAAGGTGCGGTCTGGTGACGAAATTGTAGTTACGAAAAAATATGTCCGGTATTTACAATTAAGCAAAGGTTTTGGGTCCATATTTTACCGCAGTTAGTTAGTTAAATAGGAAATAACTCTGGAAACAACAACCGCATGGCTTCAATAAATTTTATATGGACGTTTGATTGAACTTCTTTAAAGTCGTTAGTTTTATCAAAGTTTAAGGAGTATATTATACAGTTTATACAAAAACCCCGCCCGTAAATAACTGTATATAAAATTTTTATTAATATTACTTAATCAATGTTATTGATAATTTTTTTTATTTGGTATATGACAACAGTGCGCAATAATTATTAAATATTTACGCACCTGCAGGGGTGCCAAATTAGCTCGACACACACGCGAACATTGGACATTTAAATGGGACATTGTGTATATTACTGCGTTTTCTGATTTTGCCCAAAAAATCAATTAGTCGGGTGCTCTCAAACATTTATAAACATTTATCTTATCAAACACACAATCACATTTTAAAGATAATTTATTAATAAACATTTCCATTTTAAACGATGTAACTCAAATAAAAACACAACAAATAAGCAAGACACCTACGCATCATTAATTAATACACTGGAATATGCCCGGAATATTTACAAGACGCAAATTATCTTTGATATTGGATATTCCGTACTGGGGTAGTGTAAACTAATTCTTTTAGATATCCCCAAATGCAATAATACTTCTCCTAGTTAACAACCTACATTAAATAATCAGTGATAATTCCTAACCAAACGTTAACGGCAAATAAATACTGATATCTATATCCTGTTATTGAATGCTGATTACCTTCAGCCCACACATGCCTGTTGTGAAAGTTTTAAATTGCGGAGAATCTAGCTTCGCCCGAAGAGAGAATTTTTTAACAAAAAAAAAGATCATCATTATTACATAAGTTTTTTCTTAAATTTAGTTAAGAAGAATGATAAGAGGTGGTCTAATTTAAACGCCTCCACTCATTAAAAAGAAATAGGCAGAAAGTTTGTCTTTCTACTCCCGTCTGTAATATATCTAATTACACGCCGATCTAGCATCGGTTGCTAAATCCACACAGGACACATGAATTCCTATGAATATCCGGTCAATTATTGTTTCCAAAAAAATATAGGTTAAAATTTTATCGAAGGGTGCTGCAACCCGCATTCAAAAGAATATTTTTTATTAACCCGTGAGTATCTTTTGAATATTTTGTTGTCACTATCACCCCCTATTTATTACAGCCACCGGGTAAGGTAAAAGTTGACGTCTATCAAATCAAATTTATAAAAATGTTATGAATGACAATGTCCACAACAAAATTCATTTTTTAGCAAAATAGGTAGGGTTTACAGCTGATGATGGGAATAAAACTGATTATAAGCTGATTGAATTCACGGTGCCTTGGGATAACACACATTTTGGGTCCCTACTAAAATACTTTAAATAAAAATACTTTAAATCTGCAGCATCATGGACCTGGTTTTTGGATTCACGGCCCCAGAGCGGCCCAGAAATGTCCCTAGTGGTCCCATTAAATCTTTTGTTGTTGAACTGGTGTAGCAAAAAATATTTGTACGGATTGTTCTCTTTTATGATATAAATCTGTTCAAATGGTTGTAATGAAACAAAAAATTTAAGCACAAGCATTTTAATAATTATTCCCAAAACATAGTATTTCCGTCATATTTTTTTCCATCTACATTTCCTTTTATTTGACTGTGCCTTGTCCAAGTAAAATCCTATACTAATATTTTTTATTTTTAGGACAAAGGCAACTTCTACCATTTACCTTATTTAGGAGTTGCCAGCAATTTTTTTAATAAATGTCAAATGTATTTATTTAAGACTTCAAAAATTACGAAGGTCATATACCTATTGCCACATATATATATATATATATATATATATATATATATATATATATATATATACATTGTTTTTTAATATTTATTGGTTTATAGGGGCACGTGGTTGGGCGGATTGGTTGTAATCATATCGGAAGACAAGCACGAAAAATTACGATTCATCTTCATACGATGAACCTTCGAATCTTCCTTCCGATACGATTACGTTGTAGTGATTAAAAGCAGGCCGGTGCAATTTTACAATAACCACTCTTGAAGATAAACAACAACATTCCAAAAACAAAAATTATGGGAAATGATTACAAGAAATAACTAGGCGTAACATGAAAAAGGTAACAGAAATACATACAATGCCGTTAGGTATGTAAAAACAACTAGATTTAAAATACATATAGAAAAATGAACAAGAGAATAATTTCTATATTTACTAAAAATTACGTGATATTAAGGTAATCCTAGATTTAATATGGTATGGGCGAAAATATTATTAGGCGTACCATACCATCCAGCCGGCCGTATTTTTGTTGACATTTATATTTACCCCTGATCAACATTTGCTATTTTTTAACGCTCCCTTAATCCATCTACTCAAAGTCTGTGACGATAGGGTTTTCTGCATGTTATAAACAGTAAAGTTGCTCGAATATTTTTTGTGACCTGTAGATAATGTTTTAGAGTAGAGGCTACACATCATTCGGGTTTATCAAAAAAAGGAAACGTTTAAAATAAGTTGATTTTTGTAGGGTGCTGAAATTTTTAGTTTTTCAGAGATTCCAATTTCAATTTTGTCTCTATAAGTGTTTACATTAGTAATATCGATTTTCCCTAATGTTTGAATCCGATGGGCAGAAGTTAAAAGCCATAAGCGTTATTCTTTTGATAGTTAATTTTTTAAGAGGTAAAGAGTTGCTAAATAAGCTAATACAGGTTCTATTTGAGGTTTGAGGGGTTTTAAAAATCGTTTGATATTTTTTTAACAGTATCAGTAGGTGAAAACCTGAAATTTACGGCTGATCGGTCTATGTTTATTGTTGCGTAAGAAGCATCTTTATTTTTTTCGGTAACTAAAAAATCAAGATAAATATTTAAGTCATATTTCATATTCATTGAGATGATGAACCGTACAATACAGTCAATAATTTTTAAAACTAGTATTAAACTGTTTCCTTGTGCATTCCGAGATAGATAAAAACATTACTGGTATGACCCGGTAGGAAATGTCTCTTTCCCTCTCACGAAACGGAAAGAGTAATAAAGTTTCGTTAAGTTTACACAACAAAGACTTTTCCAACAAAAAACATATAAACAATGGGTGCCAATGCTGCGATGCTCACGCAGGCACTACCAATATAGCAGTGGCTGCATTTTTTATTATGGTCAGTTGCGAAAAAGTCTATTTCCGGTTCCCCGAACACTTTAATTATTTCGTTAAAAATTTGTTTATGTAATTCGTACACAATTCCAATCGACTTTTCCCTTGATCCCCTATCAGCCTCTGTATTTTCTTTAGAAGAAATGTAGGAAGCAGATAGTGTTATTTGATTTTGTTCACACCAAGATAAAAGCTGACAGGTTATCTTGCTAAGGGTTCGATATTTTACGCTCCCTCCTTAATAAAACTCGAATATTCTTCTTTGTTTCAGTAAATAATTTCAAACCGTAAAAAAATAGCCTGTAGTTCAAGGTAATTAATATGTTGTAATTCATCTAATTAATGCCAGAAACCCTTTGCATTCATAACATTGCAATAAGCGCCCCGTTTTTGGGAATGGAATACTTCTCTATAATCTTCTATCTGTCTTCTTTCTTGACGCCCTTTTCCAAATAATATTACCAGCGTGATGAGATTTCATCATGCCGCTATTTCCCTTAAATTTCATTATCTGATGGTTGCGCCCCCAAGGCCGTTGAAAAATCTGTATCTACGGTTGTGGTGCGGGAGGTCGAGAAGAATTTTCCACTTGATTTTCTTTCTAAATCGACCTGCATATCCTACAATCCAGGGTGTACTTAAGAATTATCTTCATCCTTAGATGATAAAGACTGTGCAACAACAGGCAACCAATAGTCTTTTAAGTAATAAGTACCCCTACGGTCTACGGCCAAGAGGTAGACACAAATGCTGCCCACGGCTAAAACAATCTACCCACGGTAGAGTAAAATCAATAGAATGGATAGACCCACGGCTATCCGTTAGAATTATTTACCTCAGTATACTTTTTTTTTACTTTTTAAACTTACCTGTGGCGGTAGCAGCTAAGTTTACAAATTTCTTATTAAAAAGCTCTTGTAATAGCTTGTCAATTTTTTGGCCCTTTTGAATATTAACTAATGGTGAGCCACTTCGTTTCGGCGTTTTCACTACCGAAAATAATCGCGCACAAACTCTGTTCACTCGATGGATACGAAAACCAGAATGAATAAGCGGCGGTTGTGTTGTGCGATAGTCGGATTGCCGACAAAAGGCTTCTTACTCCGAATGCATATCGATAGATGTAATAAATAATAAACTACAACGTAATCATATAGGATGACATCTACTCGTATTCGGAAACTACATTTTGTATTAGGGGATGTACTTATCAGTAAATTTTACGAGTTGATGTTATGCTCTAAAAAACAAATATGATAAAGCATTGGTGATGAATCTACATTTTCTCTTAAAAACTACTTAATCTTCGAATTTACACATGCCAACGCTCTAGAGAAAGAGAGTGATGCAACTTAAATTTATTCTGTGAACTTTGGTTGTACCAGATTCTTGTAATATACTACTAATACATAGCTAAAGTTGGATCAATTTTTACAATCCGAAGGCGTAATCAAAAAGTCTGCATATATCAGTAGAACTTACCCGAATCGGTTCCTTGAATAGGAAATTTCCGGAAACGCCCGGACTTTCTTGCTCGGCCACTTGTGACGACATCTGGGCTCGCGCCTGCCTTTCCCGCTCACGGAGGCGGTCTCGTTCCACACTGAAGCAAAAAAAATATTGAGGGTTCTATTCCGGACAAAATATGTAATATTTAATTGTAAAACTAATTGCTAACAATATTTTTTTATTGTATCTAATGATGTGGTTTTTGGTGCGTACATTAACATGATTGGCTAAAATACTATATGAAATATGCAGATCTTTTGAGATATGCATCCTTGAGGATTAATTTATGATTATTGCAAATCGAGGATCAACAATTTGAATGTTGATTGACTTTTAGTGGTATTTGTTTAAACAAAACTACATTTTTACTATTGTCAAAAAAAACAACTCATTTTAAATTAGTCAAATTGTTGAATCCATTTGGGTTTTTGATAAATCAAACAAATGTAAATAAAAATCTAAATCACTATAAAAAAAAACGCATTAATGTCCAAAAAACAACTAAAAACAATTTCTTCATCAATTTTATTTTGTAAATCTGCTTCGGGTAGCAATGCAATTTTCATTTTTAAACTCTATGTATGCTGTCGGTAATACAGATCGTTGTGATCTGTCTGTGGTATGTACGTTCGGCAAGCATGACGACCCGCTTTTATCTATGTTAAATAGGACCCAAATCACTGCGTAAATTCTTCTAAAACCTTAGAAATTTCAATAATCACTAGAAAAATCGTATTCCTTTTCAAATAATTACCTAATTTTTATAACACATTCAAATTAATCTCGAATGAAAATTATAAAAACCTACGTTTTAAGTGTGACTTTGTTTGGTATAATGATAGACGGGCTCAGCCTCTAAAAATCTCAATAAAGATTAATTGCCTTTTTTTTTTGTTCGATAAATAATTTTTTGGTTTGTGGCAAAATCGATGAATTACCACCACCGGATAATTTTTATCCGAACCAGAAATTTTCATAAATAAAAAGGTCATCCGTCTAATTCTAATGCTAATATTTCTATATAAAACCCAAAATGCACGCTGAATTGCCAAACGAAATAAAAACAATAACTAAATTAGAACTATTTAAAATAAAACTGAAAGAATGGTTGTTAAGCACTAATAGAGAAAAAGTTATATCGGTTATTGATATAAATATTATAATCCATATTCAATATGCTTAATTTGTCCAAAGCCGACATTGACTAAGTAGTGTTCTTTCCGTTTTATTCCCAATTTTTATTACCCCGAACTTGACATTTTAAACTACGCACAAGTGATATATTAAGTCTATAAATTTCTCAAAACAGTCCGATCGTTTCTTTTAACTACCCAACTACCTTTTGTGGGTAATCATTTATTTGTTTTTTGTTCTTTGATTATTTCTTTCACATAAAAAAATGGTAATCTCCATGAATAAATGAACTATTATTATTATTAATTCAGAAATATGTACTTTCTCCTAAAACACTCCAATTACAATCATCCTGTACAGTGTGTCCATATTTGATAGTTTTACAGTGCACCTCCCTGATTAATAAATTTTTTATGGATTTTGCTAATATATTTATTAATTTATTAATTTATTTTGATTTCAAAATATGACAATTACGTGAAATTATATATAATAGGGGTTTTATATCAATATCGTGGTTTACTTATTAAAAAAATGTATTACATATTTTGGAAGAGCACTTCTTAAGCCCAATAAATTAGTTATTTGCATTAAAATAAATTGCATTAAAAAAAAATTAAATGTGTACATCAAAATCTGAGTTTGAGGAAATAACTGACTACGCCACTGGATTCTAGATAAACAATCCTATCGAGACCAGTTCGACAAGGTTACGCATAACCGAACTACAATGGGTGTGTTTGAATGCACCATTTTCCAAATCACATAGTATCTAAAAATTGAAGATACCCATGCCACTTATGTTTGTGCCGCTTTTCATGTTATGGAAAAGTAGCCCTCTATATTGCTTTTAAGAGAGGGGGTTGTCCACGTGTTCTGCATGCTTCCACACACCGGACATACTTAAATAATCTGCTTCGACTGAAGCTGGAGCGTATGAAAGGAGTACGGAATAAAAATCGATGTTGCCGCGATCACAATCTTTGATTTGGCGATATTTTTGGCTCACGAAAGCAGATCGACTTGTTGAGTAAAACTGTTACGAGACTATAAAAACGAGCGTTCCTTTCCCTCTCGATGATGCGGCCCATCGTTATGCGATTCTAAAAATATCCGGATAGAAATCTGGACGAATTATAATTCCACTCTATTATTATGGCGCGGACGGCAAAACTGCCTTTGGAGTGTCGGCTCCCGGCGCGGCAATGTGTTTTCGATTATCCGAATAACCAGTTGTCATTTGTCATTTCGCCATTTTCTCTTGCAATAGATATAATTAAATTATCAAATAATAAAACAGAGTCTGTTATATTAGTTGTGAGAATTATAGCGTGATGCAAAGAGTTTGAGCATTTGGTAAATTAACCATCTTGACAGATGAAATTATGGTCTATTTCACAAAGGTGTACAGCAATAGAACCTTATTAGATATGCAAAGGGACTGGCTGGAGAGTATTTTAGAGATTTTATGGGTTATGTCTATTGTTATCCATTCACTGATACTAAAAATGGTGCGGCAAAGGCGTTCCGGTAGGACAATCTTAAAAAGTCAAAAATTTTATTTTAACAGAAAAAATTACTCTTATCCGCTCTCGTCTCCTCTTGACGGTCAAGATCCCTAGTTTTCGTCTCTGCTTTAATGACATTCAGTTCTTTGCTGCTTCTTCCTGAATGGCTTAAACAAGCAGTGATTTAAGATCTTTCATTTGGAATGTTGTGTGGTGTCTTGCCAAGTCCTTTCATTTCCGTCCAGTTGCACTATTTTTTCTGCACTGTACTTCTCCTGCGTACTTCATAAAACGAAGTGTAAATTTGCTATGCTATAGTTCCTTTATTAAATTATCTCCAAATTCAATATTTTTGGTGGTTACCCAGTTGATAATTTCTTATTTTCTCCAAGATGAAATTGGGATCGTCATAGCTATCAATTTGCAAATTAGAATTTGCTTGTTTTCTCCAAATATTGCTGAAATTTTATACGAATTCATACGAAGATTGAACAGCAGCGTGGTTCATCGAGTGTTGACATAAATATATAAAATAAAATTTCGTTTTAACTAAAATAAAGTATATAAGAAATCTGCTTCTATGCTATGCTGTTAAAAGCGATATTTTTCGAAATATCACCATCAACTCTTTTTTCTTTAAACCATTGCAAATATGATAAATTACCTGATTTAGTGCGGTTTCTGTCGACCGACCCTCGCAAAAACCATTTTGTTGCTGTCACATTAGGTTATATTTTTCAACGCATTTGGTAAGAAATGTTCGAAAAACTTTCCAAAATGTTTTTTTAGTACTGCAGGACGGTATAGTTCTTAATATCTTGTCTGTCATCTCTGCTTTTATATATTGTATGTATTGTATTTTGTATATATAGTATTGTAGAGATTTTTAATGCTGAAGGATAGACTCCTTGATTAAAAATTTAGGTTAGAAAGAGGATCAGCTACAACCTGTGCCGCCTCCCTAATTACCGTTGTGGTTATACCGTCCACTCCAGATGAATTCCTGTTGCATTATTTTATTAATAATATGGAATATCTCGATAGAATTTATGGGGAAAAAATTGTTCGTCTCCCCAGTATGTTTGTCTGAGGTTTACTAAATGAATTTTATAAAACAATAAAGTGTTCATTAAATTTATATTTTATCTTACGGTTGTTTTTGATGCCGCGGTTCTCATTTATTATTTTCCAGCATTCTTTATTAATATTTTTAGATAACGAAATCCTTTCATTGTTCAAACTTTTTTTTCGTGTTTGATTTTTGCAGCATAGACTTAATTTTTAATTTTTTATACTGAATTATACCGTGTAGTTTTGATTTTTCGATCGTTTGCTTAAGGGGTACATTTCTTTTAACAAATTAGAAAACCTTTTATTTGTTTAGATATCCATTTTTTTAATATTTGTTTGATCTTTTTCTATAGTATGCACGCAGTAGAACGCAAAATCATATTGTACTAATATTGAAATTTTCGCAAATTATACTGTCCCAATCTATCTATCTATAGTTATCGATCCAAGGTTTAGAAGTCTCAGTTATAGCATCGGGACGAATATTTTGGGATTCATGCCAAATTCTTTAAAAACATTCACTAGTGACCTGTTCTGATTGTTTTCCAGTAGCGCATCTACGTTGAGGTCTCAGCATACAATGTGTGAGGCGGCCTACCCTATTTATTATAAAAATTCTGGAAAGGTATTAAAGGAGATCTGTAAATTAGCCGTAAATTAATTTACGTTTCTTTTAACGAAAGGAATTTTAGAGCATGCTGCAAAAACTTGGCTCCTTATTTTGAAAATGTTCATTATTAATTTAATACTAAAATGATTTTTGAAAAATCCCCCCCTCCATCTCGCCATGGCCGGCGGATGCAGTTTGCTCTAAAATGCAATACATAAGTGCTATTTTATAATCAAGAAATGAAAAGTGTAGAAGTTCATTCATACGTGAATATTCCAAGAGTTTACAAACAGTTCCAGGACAATTTACCGAAAAGACCTTGGATGTTAAAGTGTATTATGTTAAACTTCTGTCTATCATTGTTTGGTTTTAAAAATCTCTGCCTCTGATTCTTTATCTGCCAAATCATTGCGTGGAAAAAAGTACCTACTAATACTAACCGTTCCTCTGGTCAAAGAGGTGGTTTGTTTTCTCTTGATACTGTGCGCAGAATCGAAACGATGACACATGGTTGCTGTTTCTGTTCTCCAGTTTTCTGCACAATATATTGGGTTCTACAAACCCTTCAAGTGCTTTTTCTGTTTTGGTAAAATCCAGTTAATTCACGTAAATCGTAGTGGACGGCTTCATTTAGTTTCAACTTTGCCTGTTATACTTATTTCCGTTTTGCATTTTTTTGTTTTGTTGTTTTTCACCTGCTACCTTAGCGATAGCGTTTGTCGAACTAGTAGATTTGTCGCAATATGTACTTTTAATACATGCTACAGATGG